TATATATACATATATAAGAAAAAGAATGTGAGTGTAGTAAAGAAAGAGAATGTCAATTAATAGAAGTGTAGTAAAGAAAGAGAATGTCAATTAATAGAAAAGGAAGAAATAGAAAATTTAAATTTTTTAGAAGAATATTATGAAAGTTTTGAGGAATATGAAGATACATGTTTAGATTTTATAGAAATTGAAAAAATTTATGATTTGCTAGTAACAGAACAAGATATAGAAAATATGATTAGTAAACTTGAAAAATTAGAGATATTAGGAGAAAATATTCTTAAATATTGGGATAAAGATAAAGTATTTTGTGAAATAAAAATTAAGAACCCAGAATATATTATTAAAACAAAAAATATTGAAGCCACAAATCAAGATCAGGAAGATTTTAGAATGCATATAAATGATTTATTAAAATTAGGAGTTATTAGAAAATCAGAAAGCCCTCATAGATCAGCAGCTTTTATAGTTAGAAAACATTCAGAAATTATTAGAGGTAAAAGTAGAATGGTAATTAATTATAAAAGATTAAATGATAATACTATAGATGATGCTTACAATATTCCAGATAAAACAGTTTTAATAAATAAAATTCAAAATTGTAATATTTTTAGTAAGTTTGATTTAAAATCAGGTTTTTGGCAAGTTAAGATGCATCCAGACTCAATAGAATGGACAGCCTTTACTAGTCCAGAAGGACATTTCGAATGGCTTGTAATGCCATTTGGTCTAAAAAATGCTCCTAGTATATTTCAGAGAAAAATGGATAGTATTTTTAGTAAACATAATAAATTTATTATTGTCTATATAGATGATATTTTAGTATTTAGTAAAAATAGACGAGAATATAGAGGTCATTTACAAATACTTTTTTCAGAATTTATTAGACATGGCCTAATTATAAATAAAAAGAAAATGTTTTTATTTAAAGAATATATTGAATTTTTAGGAGTAAATATAGGAAGGGGAAAAATAGAATTACAACCTCATATAGCTCAGAAAGCTTTAGAATTTCCAGATAAACTTGAAGACATTAAACAATTACAAAAGTTCTTAGGACTTGTTAATTATGCTAGACCTTTTATAAAGAATTTAGGAAAAATTGCAGGACCTTTATATGGAAAGACTTCCCCAAAAGGTCAGAGATATTTTAATATAGAAGATGTTAAACTAGTCCAAAAAATAAAAGAGAAATTAAAAGATTTACCTAAATTATCTATGCCTTTAGAAACAGATTATTTGATTATTGAGACAGATGGTAGTATAACAGGATGGGGAGCAATACTTATTGCAAAGCCCAATAAATATTCAGATAAAGATACTGAAAAAATAGTAAGATATAATAGTGGAAACTACAAAGAAAAAGGTAATATAAGCAGTATAGATTTAGAACTACTTGCAGTAAATTATGCATTAGACTCTTTTGAATTATTTATTATTTCTAAAAAAGAAATTACTTTAAGAACAGATTGTGAAGCAATTGTAAGTTTTGTTAATAAAATGAAATTAGAAAATAAAAGAAGTAATAGAAGAAGATGGTTAAATTTTATAGATAGAATTACTAATACTGGAATAGTAATTAATTTTGAACATATTAAAGGTAGTGATAATCAGATAGCAGATATTTTAAGTAGAATAATTAAAAATAAAGATTATGAATAATTTTTTCTTGCAGATGCAAAGACCAAGAGGTCCTAGACCAGGATTGCCAATTGTTGGCAGTTCAAGTTCTCAGACAAATATACTCCAGACTCATGATAAGTTAAGATTCGGTAATATAGAACTACTTTGTTTTCCTAATAGTAATATTAGTTTTAAGACACTTTCTCATATTTCAGTAACAAAGGCAGAAAAATGTATTTTAGATAATTTATGGATTTCTTATAATAAGAATCCAAAAGACCAAAAATATTTTTTAGCATGTTTAAATGCTCTTTCAGAATTTTTTAGTCAAGATCATAAACAATTTAAATGTTATGTTGTTTTAAATGGAAGACTCCCAGGAATTTATCATACTTGGTTAGAAGTTTCAGATTGTATTAAGAATTTTCCAAATCCTCTTTACAAAGGATTTTATTCAATTTCAGAAGCATTAGAAGAATGTAGAAAATTTATTGGTCCAAATTATTTTATTGCTCCTTCTTTAAAGAATGTTTCGACCAACCTTTAGATTATTCTTCAAGATTTTGTGATCACTGTGAATGTATGACAAAGAATTTTAAGATTTTAAATGAATCAAATCAGAATTTACAACAAGAAAAATTAGCATTACAAAAGAAGATTTCTGATTTGGAGCAAGAAATTATTAATTTAAAAATTTCAAATCCTATTTCTCATACAGAAGCAGGTACTATAGAGCCCAATAAATCTATAGCTAGTCCAGCTCAAACGGAAGCTGGTAAAGACTTATCAAATCCGTTTATGGTTCTGGGCTTACCAAAAGCTCAACAGACTCAGAGGACTGTTGATTCCTCTACTTCTCAGACACAACAGGCTGAAAATCCTGTTACATATAATAAAGAAGATCAGACACAGCAGACTGATAATTCTGCTACTAGACTTATTAGCCCAATAGATCTTAAACAGAAAAGCCCAATTAATTTTCCAGGATCATTTCAATCAGCTCAAGATCCAGACCAAATTTCTCAATCAGATATTAGAAAGATTAAAGAGATGTTTGAAAAGATTGAAGAAATTCAGCAACAAGTTAAACAAAGTACTACGAAGAAAAAGAAATTACAAATTAAAAAGAAAAATAAAGGAAAAAAGAAGATTGAACAAGACAGAGATGACTCCAAAGACAATAATTCAGAAGATAATTTTGAAGATTTCACTGACGGAGGAGATTCTTTAGACAGTATTGGCAGACATAATTATGCAACAAGATAAGAAATTTTTCAGACAGGTGTAAAAAATCAATCAGACAGCTGGAGAAAAGACAAGAAGTTTCTAGAAAAAGAAACAATTAATTGAAGAATTTTGTCCAGACGTCAAGATTATTGAAGACTTTTTACTATTAAAAAATTTGTAAAAGAATCTTACTATTATATAAAGTAAGATTTGATAGGATAGTTTTTACTATTCTCTTTTTGACATTTTGAAAAAAGCAAAGATTCTTTGCTTTTGGATAATGTTTTTCTTATTTTTCTTCTCCTATAAAAGGAGATCATTCTTTCATTTGTAAAAACACGGAAGAACATATATACAATACAAGTTTCTTATTCTCTCAAATATGTTCTAATCTTCTTTCTTTCCCGAAAGGGAAATTCTTAATTGTTCTTATTCTTAGATGAAATAATATCCCACAAAAATATTTATATTTATAAACTACCGATGGATCATTCCGGTAGGTATGTTTCATATAGTTCTAAAGATATGGGGCTAATAATAAATATTAGTTCCAGATCTTATAAGAACATTTACTGTTCATAAAATTTT